AACTGAGCTGAGGGTGTCAGGGAGACGGGTGACTATGAAGTGGAGTGTCCAGTACAGTGGAGGGGGGTTCTTAGCGCAGAACTCGGTGGGAAGGGCGGCACGCAGGCGAGCGTCACTAGTGCGAAGGTGGGTGATAAGATCGGCGACTGTAGCAAAGGTGGACAGCTCAGGGAACAGGTAAGGCAGCATGAGGCGGCTAAGCTCGGCTGTGGCAGGCGAGGAGTAGCGAGCAACGACAGCGTCGTACAGGGCCTTAGCGGTTTTGTAATCGCCAAAATGCTCGAGCTCAGCTAACGGCAGGTGACTGCGAATGGCTAGGCGAGCAGCTGCGTCACGAGTCTGCCAGTGGGAACGAACACTAAGCTCAGCTGTGGCAGGAGGGGCAGGCGCAGCACCAGACGCGTAGTCATAGAGCGACACATGCTCCTTGCTATCGCTCAGGAGGAACAGCTGCAGGTCATCTAGCCAAGTGGTGAACTGCACAGGGCGGCCCTCAGCATCGAACGACAGCACGCGGATGGAAGCCATAGCGACAGTGTGAGCAACGCAAGCTACCGCAGCAGGGATGGGCAAGTGCGCACGGGCAGGAAGCAGCAGGCGGCACTGCAAGCGGGCAGCGCGGCGGACGGGCTGCTCTATGAGCGGGCAGAGCGGCAGGCAGGTGGCGCGGTGGGCAGGCGGCGCTGCAGGCGGGCAGCGCGACTGGCGGGCGACGCTGCGAGCGGGCAGCGCGGCGGGCGGGCGACGCTGCGAGCAGGCAGCGCGGCGGGCGGGCTACGAAGTGGGCAGCGCGGCGGGCAGGCGGCGCTGCAAGCGGGCAGCGCGGCGGGCGGGCGGGCGACGCTGCGAGCGGGTAGCGCTGTGGGCGGGCGACGCTGCGAGCGGGCAGCGCGGCGGGCGGGCGACGCTGCGAGCGGGCAGCGCGGCGGGCGGGCTGCGAAGCGGGCAGCGCGGCAGACAGGCGGCGCTGCAAGCGGGCAGCGCGGCGGGCGGGCGACGCTGCGAGTGGGTAGCGCGGCGGGCAGGCGGCGCTGCAAGCGGGCAGCGCGAGCGGGTAGCGCGGCGGATGGGCGGCGCTACTAGCGCGAACGAGGGGCGCTAACGAGGGCGCTAACGAGAGGCGCGCGAGGGCGCTAACGAGGGCGCGCGAGGGCGCTAACGAGGACGCACGAGGGCGCTAACGAGGGCGCGCGAGGGCGCTAAGAGGATAGGGCACGGGGTAGCGTGGTAACCGCATGCGAGCGGTGATGGGCAAAAAAAAAAACGTTCAGTAGGTCCTAGGGACCTCCTGCTCTGAATACCATGTCAACAGAACTAGGCAAGAATGGTGCATTGAATGAAACAGTTGGGTACAAGTAGCAAACCCTAGTTGGGGTTGTACCCCATATTGGCTACCCCACTACAGCCTACCAACATATAACAGTTTAACAGTAACAAGATCACACGCGCTTGAGCCCCTGCAAAGCCACACCCACGGGCGCTTTGAGTGAACCGAGCAAGTAAGCCGAGAAACCCTTTCCCGTAGCTCGCGCCGCCCCTTTCGTCTTTGCTATCTCGATCTGCGCGTCACCCTGCGGGTTTTTATACGGGCCGTCACAAAACATTTCGGAGTTATCACGAGCAGTCACATGTTCCGCCAAATCTATCACGGACAGTCACAAAATCTGCCAAATCTATCACGAACCATCACACGGGTATCACCCGCCGTCACTCAAAGGCACTAATTTCTATCACGGGTAGTCACACTCGAAACTTTGCTATCACAGATGAATCCTCTCATCATTTTGTTGACCCGCCCTGAAACACTATACAGATTTAGGGACTCAATTTCGGATTGCTGGCTTTTGTCTTGTATACGCGACCATTTTGGATGCAAAGATAAGTGGTTACGTTCGAATTGATGTAACACACTTTTGTTTCAAAAAAACTATGAAAGAATTCGAACGCATATATATATTGCTAGAGTTCACAATTTAAACACATCGGCAATGCTTGACTAGATGTAAAATTTGCAGTACATAGCATGGTTTGTGCAACATGGTTTCCTAAACCCTTGTGATACAATGCCTCTGTGTTTAAATTCTGAGGAGATAGGCTGACATGAGATTATTATATGTCTATAGTATTTACTTGAAGGCTAGTGTTACAGTATTACGGTGAGATCATTCTCATTCTGTATACTTTATCCGTTGTATGACGAAATATAAATTGTGCGTTGATAAATATTTAGGCAGATCCAATGAATTGTGAACTCTAGCAATATATATATGCATTCGAATTATTTCATATTTTTTTAAACAAAAGTATGTTACGTCGATTCGAACGTAACCAGGTACCTTTGCACCCAAAATGGTCGCGTATACAAGACAAAAGCCAGCAATCCGAAATTTAGTCCTTAAATCTGTATAGTGTTTCAGGGCGGGTCAACGAAATGATGAGAGGGTTCATCTGTGATAGCAAAGTTTCGAGTGTGACTACCCGTGATAGAAATTTTGGGGTCTCTGAAGGCGCTGATCGGAGTGGCGTTACAACGGGCGCAAGCTCGTGTCATCCTGCTTCGGGCGGCGTCTTCCATGGGGGGGTTGAATGTGGACTTGGTGGATCGGGAGAGGGACGATGTCGAGGTGGAGGGCGGGCCTCTTTGGGTGGAGGCCCCCTACATGGTGGATGTGCAGATGTGACTTGGGGGGGAGGGGGGGGGGGGGGGGGGCGAGGGGGAATGGGGTGCGAGATGGGACGTCTGGTAGGGGATCCTGGTTGGGTTTTTTCTTTATGGAGTATTTTTATGGGGCTTTTTATGGGTGTTGCGTTTGAGTTGTTTCTGGTGTCTTTCTTTCCCTTTTCCTTCTCCCTCTTTCCCTTTTCCTCTTTCAAAAGCGTGAAGCCAGTTTCTGGGACTTAATATGAAAATGCTTTTGTATACTAAATGATAAGCATAGCAGGAACCTTGAGCTGATGAGAAATTAGTGCCTTTGAGTGACGGCGGGTGATACCCGTGTGATGGTTCGTGATAGATTTGGCAGATTTTGTGACTGTCCGTGATAGATTTGGCGGAACATATGACTGATCGTGATAACTCCGAAATGTTTTGTGACGGCCCGTATTAAAACCCTGGAAAAAATAAAGGATCTTTGCCAGTGGAGCTGTACTAGTTTGTTTGTGTGTGAACTTTCGGGTCGCAGGGCGGCGCACGTGCAGAAGGACGAACCGCATGGGGAAACTATGGGGTGTATCCTAACTTACAAACGCCTCTCGTATCAACGCGGTCCTCTTATCGCACCTGTCTGTACTGTTACTGTAGCACTGGAGTACAGTAGTTTCCATTTTGGTGGAGTACATAAGAACGCCTTCAAACCAGAAACCGTATCTCAATTAGAAAGGCCTGCCCAAAGAAAGCATGTATGCAGTTTTACTGCAGGTTCACCTAAGCAATGTACGTACTAAAAAATCTCAAGAACTTCTAATAGATGCTTACACATTTCTGTTCGCTGCTTATTAGATCCTACATGCTCCGACGGCTAATGCTGGAGCGCAGGACAGAAAAGTCTTCCAATGTAAGCTACCATAGTCAGAACCCTCTATCCACCTCCAATTATTAAGCTTTCCATGCGTTTTTTATCCCATTCACAACCACCCTCCATAACCCACCCGCCCATGCCGCAACCACACCCCGCCCAATCCACGCGCACACAATGCACAGCCATACAGCCATGGCATACCGGTACCACTGACTACAATCCACCTCTGCACCATCCACCACCACTTACCTTCACTGAAGTGTCCAGCCATATTCTCCTGCAGACCCCCACACCCTTCACTAAACTCCACTTCCACACACTTCCACCCACTTCCACTGCTATATACTCGGCACATACCTTGACTCGCCTCTGCTCGCATCTCACTAGCTGCTCACAGACCTCATCACCCCATCAACTATCCTATCTGCGTAACCAATAAGAAGCACCACATCCACTGCACTGCACAACAGGCTATACACAGGACCAATAGATACCTCACGGAATCATATGTCTCACCATAAGTCTCTGCTGCCTCTGCCCTTTCTTTACCCACTCACTCTTTCCCCTTTAGCTAAACTTACACCTTTTCAGGTTGCAAATGCAAGAGCAAGAGCACACACACTAGCAAGAGCACGAGCCCACACACTCTCACACACACACATACAAACATACACACGTACCCACACATATGCACAGAAGAGCAACCACGTGCAGTCATCACCCCCCCCCTCCCCCTCCCCCCCCCCCCCCCCCGCCCCCCCCATCACCCACGCACGTCCAGTCACGGCAGCATGGTGTCCACAAAGCCCACAAGCTTCCACCAACCGATCCCCAGTCAAACTGTGCCAGCGTGGGAAAACCGCTTCTGCTGCCGCTTCTGCTTCTGCCGCTTCTGCTGTTTCCGAGCCGAGCCCGCAGCACGGCATCCAGAACCTGGCCGCACCCAACGAGCGTTGCCCACAACCTGCGTTTCCTCCTCTCCCCCCCCCCCCCCCCCCGCGGTGCATGCCCAGATCCTGCTCCCGCACCCGTCAAACGGCACGAGCGCAAAGGCAAAGGCCACCGCTCCTGAGGTGCCTCATAAGAAGGGCCGTCACAGAAGCGTGGCATCGACAAAGCGCGACGCGCACAAGCGTGCCAGTATCTCGCACTTTCAATGGTGCATGCCCAGAGCCACTTTCCATCAGACAGATTCCGGAAGCCCCTCACAAAAGCCTTCACGGCACTGTGGTGTGGTGTCCACGAATCCAACCAGCCTGTCAACATCCCGCTTCCCCCGGTGCATGCCCAGAAGCGGCTGCTCCCCATCAAACAGCACGAGCCTCACACGCAGGCCATCACGGCAGCGTCGCGTCCACAAAGCCCACCAGCGTGTCGACGTCCCGCTTCCCCCCGGTGCATGCCCAGCGGCCGCTCCCCCTCAAACAGCACGAGCATGAGGAAGAGAGCCGCTCCTCCTGACGCGCCATCTCACAATACCCATCACGGCAGTGTGGCGTCCACGAATCCGACAAGCGTGTCGACATCCCGCTTCCCCCGGTGCATGCCCAGCGGCCGCTCCCCATCAAACAGCACGAGCGTGGGGAAGCCCGGGATTTGAAACTCCTCGGCCAGCTGCGGGTAGCGGTAGGCATCTACGCGCGCCACCTGCACGTTGAAATCGAGGTCCTTGAGCCTGCCTGCCAGGTCCGCCCATGCCTGCTCCATGCGTCTGCAGTGCGGACACCACGGCGCGTAGAACATCAGGAATGTTGGCCTGGGGGGAGAGTAGGAGTGGGGAGGGAAGAAGGGAGGGAAGGAGTAGCGGGAGGGGGGTTAACGGGATGAAGAAAGGGGCGGTCCGCCAATGCCTGCTCCATGCGTCTGCAGTGCGGACACCACGGCGCGTAGAACATCAGGAATGTTGGCCTGGGAGTGGGGAAGTGGGGGGGATGGGAGGCGAGTTGAGAGCGAAAGGAAGTGTAGATAGGAGATAAAGTTCCATCATCGATCATACCCAGAGGAATTAGGCAGCAGCAGCCATGTGCGCCCATGCAGCTGATCTCTCAGCGGATCTCTCAGCTCAACCAGTTTCATCCCTCTCCTTACGCTGGAGTCGATTAAAACGCGAGCGCGCGCGCACACACACACACATACGCACAAACAAACAAAAACCCAATTTCATCGCCCTCCTCATGCACACCCCTCACCATCCCTCATGTCTCAAGTACCTGCGTCAGAGGGCTGCAGGCAGGTTTTTCCAGGGTTGAGCTCCAGCACTCCTGGTCACCAGGATTGCTCCAGGGTTGCTTGTGAGGGGTGTGGCAGCATGCATGCAGGCTGCAGATCTTATTGTCCTCTAGAATTCCGAGTTCTAGCCCAGCACGTACCTGCGCCGGAGGGCGGCGTGCAGGTTGCCAGGGTTGAGCTCCAGCACTCCTGGCCGCGCCTCACGCCTGGTGGGCCATGGATGGGCGACAAGAGGATATTTGCAAATGCACGCACATGCACGCACATGGCACGCAAATACAAGGGAATGCATGGAGATAGGTGATGCAAGGGATACGCAAACGAGGTGCAGGGGAATACCAAGGAGAAGCAAGGAGAAGGGCATTTCTGCATGCAAGAGGCACATGAAGAGAACTAGGAAGACGAGGAACAGCCAGAGCAAACAGCTTTCACGTCACAAGCAACATGGCCCAGGGACATGCCCCATGCCTTATACCCATGCCCATGCCCATGCCATGCCCCATGCCCTAGCCTCATGCTCACGGCCCATGCCCCAGAATCCCACAGCCAATGCCCCCTCCCCTTGTTCCCCCCAACTCACAAATGCCACGGCACCACTCCTTGCTCCTCCGCCCCCGTGCTGCTTCCTCCCACCATCACCTCCCCCACAGTCTCCACCGCGCCCAGCCTCCCCCCTCCGCCCAACAGCCCAAGCCCGGGCGCGCTGCCCAGGCGCCCCATGCGCGCTGCCCCGCCTGCGCCAGCGCGGGCGGAGAGGGCGAGGTGGAGGAGGGTGATGACGCAGGAGGTGACTGCTGAGAGGAGAGCCAACGCCACTACCCAATCCGCCCACCTTGCTCCAAACCACGCTCCCCTCCGCTGCTGCTGGTGCTGGTGCGGCTGCTGTTGCTGCTGCTCCTCTTTCCCTTCCACTTCCTCCTCCTCCCTGTTCTGCTGCTCCCGCTGCGGCTGTTGCTGCGGCTGCTGCTGCTGCTGCTGCTGCTGCTGCTGCTGCTGCTGCTGCTGCTGCTGCTGCAGTGACGGTTGCTGCTGCCACAGCAGTGGGTACCTGCGAAACCCGTCGACGAACCTGGACCACAGGGTCGGTGCCGAACCTGCCCCCGCACTAGCTGCTGCTGCTGCTGTCGCTCCTACACCTACTGCCGCAGAGTTCAGAGAGCCGTAGTAGGGCGAGCGCGGACGAGAGGGAGAGGAGGCAGGGCACAAGGATGGCTCGAGAGCAGAGAGAGACGCGAGCAGCAAGGCGGACGGCGGCTGATAGCGAGACGCGGAGGAGGAGGAGGAGGAGGAGGAGGAGGTGGAGCTTTGATAGGAGAAGGGGCCATGCAGGGACGAAGGAGAGGGAGGAGAGACAGCGGGGGCAGCGGCCGTGCGTGTGGGGGAGGAGAATCTAGCAGGGGGAGAGGCGGGGATGGGAGGAGAATTAGAACGACCTGAGGGTGATCTAGCACCAGCGCGTTTACCACCTGCGAATCTCGCATTCGCGAAGCTAGTCCCTCGCGTGGTCGGCTGTGCAGCAGCGGCGGCAGCTGTGGTTGCTGCTGCTGCTGCTGCTGCTCTCGCCTTAGCTGCTGCTGCTGCAGGTTCAGACACACCGGTGGCACTGGTGGCGCTGGTTACAGTAGCCGCGCGGGTCACAAACGAGGGCAGAAAGGGCAGTTTGAAGTGCGCGCGGGAACGGGAGGGCGCGGGGGAGGACGGGCGGGGAGCGGAGAAGTACGAGACAGACGCGGAGGGCGAGGAAGAGGGGCGCGCAAACACCGCGCGGGGCCTTGGCGTCGTTGGGGGGGAAACATACGGCTCCGCGCGGCTTCCTGGCGCAGGAGACGCTGCCCCTGCAGCGGAAGCCGCCAGGGGAGGGGAGAGAGGGGGGACGGCGGCAGCAGCAGCGGGGTGAGAGGAGTGGAGGGAGGAGGAGAGCAGAGGAGAGGACGGCGTGGGGGAGAGCGTCTGAGTAGCATCCGCCCAAGGGAGAGTGGAACCCGAGGAAACAAAGGAGGCGGTAGGAGAGACCGGGCAGTCTTCTTCTATCTCTGTAGGAGTAACGTCAGCATCTGCAGCAGCGGCAGATGCGGCGGCAGTGGAGGGGATGATGGGCGTGATGGGCGGGAGCGGGGGCGGGGGCGGAAGCGGGGCGGAAGGCTGGCGGCGCTGGGACACGCCCTGCGCTTCCCGCAGCATGACCTGTGAGTGGGCGGTGCCACCGGGAAGAGGGGGAGATGGAGAGAACGGGGAGGGGGAAGGGGAGGGGGAGGGAGAGGGAGAGGGTAAAGGGGAAGGGGAGCGGGGAGCGGGAGAGGGGGAGAGGGGAGAGAGGCGGGCACAGGCGGGCACGAAAGGAGGCGGCGGATTAGGTCAGTCAGGCGGGCAAGCGGTGTTCACTCACTCTCAGCAATGAGAGCAGCCTAGGACTAGAGGGCAGTACGAGGCAGCAAGCGCCGGATGGATCAGGGGGAAACAGGAGCAGAGAAATAAGAATGGCGCAGAGAAATGGGATCGCTCTCTCTCACTCTCGCGCCGCGCATCCTAGGACTAAATCTTCCGACTAGACCCCTTCCGCGCTTACCCGCAGAGCGGACGCCTCTTGCTTCATTGCGCGCATGCCCGCGTACACCGCCACGACTTCCCCCCGACTTGCGCCCGCGTCCCCCGCTTCCGCCGCCTGCGCCTGCCCCGTTTCCTGCCCCTGCAACAGCTCCTCCAATCCCTGCTCCAGAATCGTCACCTCCTTCTCCACCAATGAGAACGCGTCGCCCGCCGTCGGCGGCGCCGTCGTACGGCTGGACGACGGCAGCGACTGCGTGCGACGCGGGAACCCGCGCTTGGCGACAGAGGCGAGGGAGGAAATCGGCTCCGTCTCCAACCCCGGCGCCGTCGCCGTCGCCGCCGCCGCCGCTGCCGCTGCTGCGGCACTACCAGCAGCCCCTCCCGAAATAGCTGTTGCCGAGATAGACCCGGAAATAGGAGGCGGCTTCTCATTGGCTTTCCCCGACCTGCCGGAAGCGGCTCGAGCGTTTCCGCCGCCAGGCGCGCCGGCTGCTCCGGATGCGGCGGCGGCGGTGGTGACGCGAGAGGAACCCTGACGCCCCCTGGAACGGGACGGGCTGCTGCCGACCCTGGTGTGAGGCCGCCTGAGCCGGCTCAAGAGATGTGCCGGCCTGAAGCTGCCTAACGACAAGAAATGCCGCCCGTTTGCGCCTCGGCTGCCGCCCGGCTGGCCGGCGGTGGAACTGCGGGGTGGGCTGGAAACAGACGCGCCAGCGCCAGCGGCGGCACCGGCGCCAGCGGCGGCGGCGGCGGCGGAAGAGATCGGGGAGTCGGGAAGCGTGACAGTATCGGAGTCGTCAAAAAGAGAGCTTACGTCAGCGACAGCGGCGAAGCTAGAAGCCGCGGAGATGGGGAGGCAGGTGTAGAACGAGAGGCAGGGAGGAGAGTGCGCGGAGGACGACGAGGACGAGGCGTGCGCATGAGAGTGCGCGTGCGCGTTGGAGTGCGAGTGAGATTGGGAGTTAGAGTGAGGGGTGGAGTGAGAGAGCAAGGTTGCGGCAGAGGCATCACAGGAGGAGCGAGCAGAGGCAGGGGCCGAGGAGGAGGAAGGAGATGAGGACGAGGAGGAGGAAGAGGGGGGTTTTCGAAGCCAAGCACCGACTGCGGAGGACCAGGAGGAGGAAGAAGAGGAGTAGGAGGAGGGAGATGCGGAGGATCGAGTGTCTTCTTGCTGCTGCTGCTGCTTCGCTGATGCGCGTTGTTTGCTATCGCTGTTAAGTAGCTGTGCCTGCGTCTGTGCTGCCTGAACCCCGACGGGACTGGTGGTGGTTCCGCGTTGACGCGCGTGCTTTCGACGGGCTTTGCTGCTGCTGCCGCTGCTGCTGCTGTTGCTGCTGCTGCTGCTCCTGCTTAGCCTGGCCCCACGAGGATCGGCCGACGTCAGCGTGAGACGCGGAATGCGGAGGAGCGTGCGACGCGCCGCTCGCTGCTGCGACGCCGGTGTAGCCGGTGTCGACCGGCGCAGCCCATAGAGATGGCACGGAGAAGCACGACACGTTCACCATGCTGCTGATGTTGCTGCTGCTGCTGCTTCTGCTGCCGTTGCTGCTGCTGACGAAGTTGACGATTGTCCGAGGTGTCGCGACAAGCTGACCGCACTAACCAGGAAAATATGGCTTGTTTAGTAAAAAAAAATTATGGGAAAGGAATCGACAGTGTCCGTCTTCCCTCGGTTAGCTGTTGAAACCCTTACCAGTCAACAGACGCTAACACATTAGTCAGCTAAGGTTAGTAGGTTAGGCACCACAATACCTACTCACAAGCTGTTCGGAAACGGACGAGAGTCATGAAATGTCGAGCAAAAAGGATCATTTCAGGTGATGAATCGTGATGCGCGAGCGGGCCTGCCATGCAAAGCGATGGCAATCCCAGGAGTGGTGCGGAGGAAAGCTTGGGTTTGGGGGAAAGAGAATTGGGGAGGGGAGGGGAGACAGGGGGGGGGAGGGGAGAAAGGGGAGGGAGGGGGGGGGGTTGTGGAGCAGATAGGGAAGGGGATGGGGTGAGGTGAGGTGAGAAGAGGAGTCTGTATCCCCGCTTCCAGCGGGGGAGGTTACAAATGCATCACATCGATGGCATGCGCCAATCAGACCATCCGCGCGCGTCATCCTGCAACCGCCCATAGCTTATCCCCCTCTTCCCCCCCCCCCTCCTCCCCCTCTTCCTGAGCAAGTCTTTTGATTCGTTGCGCTGCCCCTCCTGCCTTTTCCCGCGTCGGCACACCTCAAATCGAACTGATGTGTGCGGCGGAAACTTCAAGTCTAGGCGCACGAATCGAGCTGAGAAAGGTTGAAATGCAGCCTTGCTTTCTATTGGCCAACCATCTGTCCTTCACCGCCCTCATCAGGGTACACTACTGCTTGAAAGGTATATACTGTAGCCCTTGGAGAGCAAAAGCATTTGGCTGGATTGCATTCTCATGAAGCCTAACGTACTTTGCTTTATGCCCCGTCTTCAAACCTGAAACTTCGGCTGAAAGAGCTTTACATAGAAATAGAGTCGTTTTAATCAAACCCATTCCTCAGAGGGTAGACAGATAAACTACCCAAGGGGTCCCAGCATGTCCGCTGGCATGCAGATCATCCAATAACAAGCGGGGACACAATAAAGGTTAAGGTTATATATTGATCGTAATCAATGTACAAAGAATAGTACCATAGAGCTATCTAGAAACATGGCCGAGATGGCCAGCATCCTATAAGGAGCACGTGGAACACACGTTATTTCTTTGTCCTAACGGACAACCGCCAGCAGACTGGGGAGACGCTCTATGCGGAAGCTGACTAAGGAGGTCGGAACGGGTTACCCGGAAGCCATGAAAGTCTGAGGTCGGGGTGAATGGAGGGTGTGCCACTTCGGTCGAACAGGAGAAAGAGGAGTTTCTGTGCTCGCTTTATGTTGGAACAAAGTGCGTTGACGTTTCTTAGTAGATTGGCGTCTGCTCCTCCAAATATAAATCTTGAAGGCGATTAGGAATTGGGCAAATATCAGCTGCAAAATCTCGAAGCTTGAAGAGCAGGTGTTGTGGTACTTGTGGGCGTAGCGTGCATTCCACAACGTCTTAACTGCAGCTCCCACTAGAAGGCTCCATTGGGGGGACCGTCCCACCCGTGACTGAATCGGGAAGAAAATATGCTCGGCGGTGGTAGTCTGTCCAAGGTGGCGGTCGGCGCCTGTACGCTGGGCCGAGATGACAGTTCCGACGGAGGAACATTCGAAGAAGATGTGTGGCAGTGTCTCGACGACGGCAGCGGGACAGCGAGGACAGATCCCCCGATCGTCAAAGTATTGAAAGCGTGACCCTGAGGGTAAGGTTAGCGTGTAAAGTCTAAAAAGGATGTCTCGCTGACGGCTCGGCTGATCCTTGAGAAATGAGTGTTTAAGGCCGGGGAGAGGAGGAGGAGGAAGGGTAAGGTCGCGGGTCCAGCGGAGGTGGTGGGTTAGTGGTTGTGCTGAGTAGAGGAGGCGGCGGATGTCGGCTATGCTTGGGATGCCGTCCTGTAGCAGTCCTATCCTAGCCCCTAGCCCAGCCCCAGTGTGAAGTGGCCCAACGAGCCACCGGTCCCTGACGTGCACCTCCACGAGGTCTTGTAAGCAGAAGATTCCGGTGTCTGCAAGGGTGCGGGCGATGTGATGGTTCGGGGAGACATGGTGAACAGTAGCCGAGACGGACGAAGGGGGGATGAAAGAGATAACTTGGATGACGAGATGTAAGATGGAATAGTGATCTTCCGAAATCATGAACCAGTCTCCTGGAGAGACAGAGGAGGCGTGTGGGGTTCGAAGGGCGGCCCACCAAGGAGGTTTGATGGCCTTGATAAGCTCTGGTAGGATGCTGATTGCGTCTGCGTTGAATTTCTCCGGGAGTTGGGAGCAAAAGTCTTCTGTAGAGATATGGCCAACCTGAGGGTTGGTGATTCGGACGATGTGTCTGATGCGAAATTGCACAGTAAGGAAGAAGCGCTCGTGTTGGCGAGTGCCAAAAGACCGGTTGTCAGGTTTGAGGAAGGAGCGGTTGAAGGCGAGAGGTTCGGTGAGGATGCACTGCATGCGTAAGGGTGGGCCATGGATGACCAGGGAGAGAGAGGAGGGCTTTTAGTTCGTCTAGCGCCCGAGGGGGAATGAAAGTGGGGAGATAGTCTCGTTCGAGGATGGCTTTATGAGAGCAAACCGTGTAGCCCGAAGGGGAACGGGGTCAGGGTACGTGCTACTTCCTCAGAGGGGGTAGGTCCGAATCTGCGCAGAGCGCGCTGAATAGCAAGAGCTTTGACTTGTGTAGACGGGGCGATCGCCCTGACCCCGCCGTCTTCGGTGGAGTTATACAGGAGGGCTTTGGAAATGAGGCGTTGTGCAATGCCGTCTTGTTTGTGTTTTGAGGACGAAAGGAAGTTCCCAACTGACACGTCTAAGCATTTGATTGTGTCTGGTGGGGCGGGTTGAAAGCGACCGGGAAAGGAGATGACAGGGTTTAGGAAGATCGAGGAAAGTGATTTGCGGCACGTGACAGTTGCGTGTAAAGCTGCCAGGAACTTGGCGGTACTTTGTATGCGGGCAAGTGCTTTATTCCAAGTGGTGGAACCTGGGTGTAGGCGTTCGACGTAGATTCCGAGGATGCGTTTTGCCTCATTGGGAGCTCGGATGGGTATGCTCCCGGCGTGTAAGAGATCAGAAGGGGGGATATTGAAAGGGATTATGGAGCACTTGTTCCAGTTAGGAACTTCTCCGGAGACCGATCCAAAGACGCCGAGCAGCACTACAGCAAGCCCAAGCTCTGTATCAGAGGTGAGGAAGAGAGTCACGTCGTCTGCGTAGCACGCTATAAGCCGGCGTTGTGCAGGGGACAAGGCAAAGCTAGAGAGGAAGAGGGACATGTACCGGTGAAAGATCTCCATGACGCAGACGAAGAGCAGGGGAGCCAGTGGGCAACCCTGACGGACACCAGTGCGGACGGGGAAGGTGGGGCCGAGCATATTGTTAACCGAGATACGTGTGTACGTGTCGGAATGCATAAGACGAACCCAGTGGATGAAGGATGCGGGGAGGCCCAGAACGGATAGG